ACTCCAGGGAGACACCTCCTCTGCTGTGACCCTTGCTCGGCAGAATGAAGTTCAGATGCCCAGTTGTGGCACACTCTCTCTGCAGGATGGGAACCTACTATAACTATCAAATGGCCCTAGAAGTAGCCAGATGGAACCATATGCAGGGCCTCAGATACCCTGGGGCTCTGACGCCCCCCCCCCCCCACTGTGAAGGCAGAGTTCTCCGGTCAGTGCCGCCTCCTGCAACCCTGACCTTGGCATTCCTTACCTCTGGCATTTCACCCTTCGTAGTATTTGCTTGGTGCTGTCGTCCTCAGCATACAGTTGGCCCTGTTGATTCTTTGACAAATTAACCCATACATGCAACTTTCAGCTGCTATTATAGAACATTCTAGAAAAATACTTTTAAGAGACTATCCCGTCTTGGGCAGAGAAATAGGGTTTGGCATGAGGGTTTTGCAATAGGGTTTTCATTTCCCACGGTGAGCCCTTACAAAGTCTGCTTGCTTATCCAGCAAGATCCAGCAGCGGTTAATGAAGTGTCTAAGGAGACTTCTGCAGAGACTACAGAAACAGAATGATGCTCTAATACCCCGAAACCTCACCTCCCGGAGCATCTGCCTTCTTAGGAACAAATGCAGAGTATGAAAACAAACAAACAAAACAAAACAAGGGTTAAGAAAAACAGGACCATATGCGAAAGTGTGTAACTAAGAACATATGCCACTAGAAAAACCTAATAGCATATTTTATCACTAAGTATTCAATCAACACATGAACCATTTGTCATGACGGCTACATGTATATCTCACAAATAAGTAGCATATTTTAGTGACTCCGAGACCAGATGAACAAGAACTTCACTGCTTAGTTTGTGACTAAACAGATAGAGACGGGCCTGTCTCTATGAGTTTGAAGCCAGCCTGGCTCCAGGTCAAGCTCTAGGTCAGCCAGGGCTACACAGTGAGAACTTGCATTAAGGATGGAAGGAAACAAGGAAGCAGGGAGGGAGGAATCAAAGCAGGCAGACACGCTTTCTGTTGTTGCTGTAAACTGCACACCTACCTGGAGCATCGGTCTCCTGTCCGGGGAGTGTGGTTCTTAACTGGGGGTGGGAACATGGGTTTTGTACCTGCCTCCCCAGGGGATGTTTGGCCATGTCTGGAGAGGTTCCCATTTGTTACTGCTGATGTAGCAGTATCTCCTGGGTAGGTCAGGCATGCTGCTTAAAACCTTAAAGTATGCCTGCATTCCATAGTCAAAGATGCCAGCCCATGGGGCTGAGGAGATGGCTCTATTGGTACAAAGCTTATGGCACACAAATGAGGACCCAAGTTTGACTCCCCCCCGAACCCACATTAAAACACCTAGCATGGTGATGAACATTTATAATTCCAGCACTGGAGAGGCAGAGACAGACAGATATCTGGAGCTCACGAATAGTTAGCCTGGTCTAATCTGTGAGCTCAACAAATAAGACAGGCATCTTCTGGGGCTGGAGAGATGGCCCAGCAGTTAAAAGTACTGACTGATTTTCTAGAGGGCTGGGGTTTAGTTCCCAGCATCCACATGATGGCTGACGCACTGGAATGTCAGTTTCAGGGGATCTGGTAGCCCCAAATATCAATACTTCTGATGTTGAAGGACCACAGTGTAGAACAAACAGGGAGAGTGGTTATTATTCTGCCATGATGAGTTTCACTAGCTCCTGGGTCCTATTTCCGAGGAACACTGATGCTCAGTGCCGGCTCTTCAGGTTGGATGCATGGAAACCATAGCAGAATACTGAGGAGGAGGAGGAGCCATGAACCAGAGCGATGACTGACTTCAATAGGTTAACCTCAGCTTCAGCCAAGCCTTCCCTACTCTACTATAAACCACAAAGTGTTCTTCAACACATTCCATGCTTTAATTACACTTTTAGAGTATATAGCAGTTACATGAATTAAGGAACAATAAAATGAAATTGATTTTTCCATACATGCAGAAAAATGTGGGGCCTAAGGTATATTATAATTAGAGCCACTGAGATCCGTTGCAGAGTGTTTTTAAAAGGCAGCAAAGTTTTCAATTGCCCCAAACTGATAACCTTCCATTTTCTGTTTGTTTATTTGTCTGTCTGTTTCTCATTTTTAACATGGAATAATTTCAACATCTTTTTAAGTCCTGGGTTTGGTCTGTTGCTAAAGGCAAAAGTAACGAACCTGGTCCTGAAGGAAACTTCTTGATGCTTTGACACAAAGCTCTTGGAATTAGAATGATGATCTCTGTGGCCTCCATCCACAGTGTTTCTAAATGGATGTCCTCAAACTTCCGATGGGAGATGTATGTCAGAGATGCTGACACATTGGAATGTTTCGGAGCCAACCAATGAGAGGCAAAAGTCAAAAAGCATGGTTTCCTTTCCTCTGCTTGGACTCTAATGATGGGAAGGAGCGTGTGCAAAGGGCTCTTGTGACTTTCAGACGATTTCTGGTGTGACAGACAGGGCAGTGCTCTTTCCATGAGGAGGCTGGTGAGTGCCAGGGCTGAGCTGGCACTAACCTTTGCTTGCTGTGTTGGCAGTGTTCTTGGCACATGGCACCCTTCCTGTCTGCCTGAGACATAACACTATGGGACTCATCACCCAGAGAGATTCCTGGAGGCCTGTGCCAGGCTTCTGACTGTCCGCCCCCCACCCCAACTTTCCTCCCTCTTCTTGGGTGCACAGCTGACATTTACATACACTTGAGTTCAACATTCTCTCTCTCCTCCCCACACAAAGCTGTTGGGAGGAAAATCGTGGAGCTGACTTAGGACTTCCGATTCTTGGCCTAGATTGAAGAGTGAAAGACTTTGCTTCTCATTTTTAAGAGGCTGGGCTGCAGGAAGAGTGCCGGAATTCTGGGGTAGTGGGATGCTCAAGTGCGGGCTCTTAACCCTGGTGTAGGTAGGACTCAAGGCCAGGAGCATATTCTGCTCAGTCACCTTGCAACAGCTGCCCAGCTCAAACCTGTTTTTAATAAGCTTGGGATCAAAAAACAAATCTTGTTTTGGAATCTGAGCTGGGAATTCCCTGAGCACAGAATAGGACTGAGGTGTCATAATCAATTCTCTCTCTCTCTCTCTCTCTCTCTTTTTGTTATTTTGTTTCTGTTTTTTTTAAATATTTATTTATTTATTTATTATGTATACAACATTCTGCCTCGATGTATGCCCGCACGCCAGAACAGGGCACCAGATCTCAGTACAGATGGTTGTGAGCCACCATGTGGTTGCTGGGAATTGAACTCAGGACCTCTGGAAGAGCAGCCAGTACTCTTAACCTTTGAGCCATCTCTCCAGCCCCTTGTTTCTGTTTTTTAAGACAGGGTTTCTCTATAGCTTTGTAGCCTGTCCTGGAGCTAGCTCTTGTAGACCAGGCTGACCTCGAACTCAGAAAAACCAGCTGCCTCTGCCTCCCAAGTGCTGGGATTAAAGGCATGTGCCACTACCGCCTGGTGTCATAATCAATTCTAAGTCACAGCTTCTAGCACAGGGCCCAAAGCATAGTGGATGAGCACAAAAAAATATGTTTTCAGGGTACAAAGGGCAGGTCGAGAGCCTCTTACCCAATTCATTTCTGCTAACTTTCACTTACAGTGGTGACAGTGGTCTTGGTGTGGGATGACATCCTTCCTGTCAGTCCCAAATATGGCATGATGGGATCTGGGAACCTGAAATACCTGTAAAAGGTAGAGTTGGTAGGTCCAGGCCTTGAAGGACTCATTTAACATGCTAATTACATCATCATATCTATGACTCTGTGTGCTATCCTCATTCTTTGGACAGTTGCCAATGCAGAAAGAGTGGTTCATGCCTGAGTCATGGCGACAGGAATCCTAACCACTTTCCATTGCTCTGATAAAGCACTGACCAAAACTAACTTGGTGGAGGAGAGGGTTTGAGGAAAGCTGGGGCAGGAACTCAAGAGGGATCCTGGAGGCAGGAACTCGAGCAGAGACCCCAGAAGAAAACTTTATTGGCTTGTTCCCAGTCGCACATCCAGCTGACTTTCTTACAGCTGGCCCAACTGACTAAGGATGGCACCACCCATGGTAGACTGGGCTCTCCCACATCAACTGTCAATCAAGAAAATATCCCACAGGCCAGCTGATTAAAAGTACTTTCTCAGTTAAGGTTCCCTCTTCCTAGGTGTGGCCCATTGGGAATCAAGGTTTGTTAGTCATACAGAGGTTGTCTTTGGGGTTTAGCGGATGGCCACTATGTGAAGAGGAAACCCTGGCTGAGTTTGAGAAGGAGCTGTAGGCGAAGCCTCATGTTGTTTCCGCCACAAGCAAATGCTGACTGACGAGCTAGCCACTAAGTTTTCTGTATGCCAAAATGCCCCAAAGTTCAGGGGCCCCAAGTCCTGACTGGTTGGCCAATTTGGTGGCATGTTTCAGCTAGGCTGGGTTGGGGAGCTTTGCTCCAAGACTGACTCTTCCCCCTGGAATCTGTAGGCCATGGGGGCTGTTTCTTCTTACGCAGGAAAGAACAGGGGTGTCCTGTGTCTGCTGCTGCCTGATATCTAAACTCCGCTGGTACTCTGTCCATGGGGGCAGCAGACGAGAGGGAGAGAATGGGTGTGTCTATGGATCTACCACCCCAAACATATGTCACACCCACCAATCAGCCCCCTTCTCTGTAAGCATTGCACACTGTTCCCTTTACTAAACAATGGGCGAATAAACAACAGCCATGGGGACAGACAGCAGAGAAAGATCTCACAGAGGCTCAAGGTAATACTTGTCTGTGATGAGCGATCGTGGCTTGATTATATGCACATGCCTAAGCTGGCAGCTCTGCTCATTGGAAGGAGATAGATCATGAATCTAAGTCTGATGATAGCCTTGTTTTCTCTCCCTAGATGTCTACATAGATGTGAATACAACAACCAGTGTGTAGTTTCACGAGATTCCAGGGCTGGGAAGCCCACCTATGGACTCTGCTTACTGGATCTTTTGAGTCGAACAGCTCTGTCCCAACACAGCCTCCCACCGTGATGTGTTGCCTTTCAAGGGGCCCAGAAATAATGGAGCCAGCCACTGATCAAGATCTATGAAACTGTGAGTCAAAAGAAAGCACTCCTCCCTGAAGTAGTTTTCTCTCAGGGGCTTAGTATATAGACCGGAGCATCAGAGCTAAGAAATGCATTTAACTCTCAGCCATATCGTTACTATTTTATTATTACTAAACTATCATAGTTCCAGGCTGGGGACATGGCCCAAATAGAAGAACACCTAGCATGCATAGGACCATGTGTTCCATTTCATCACCAATCAGGTATGATATTATATACTTGCAATACTAGCCCTTGAGAGATAGAGGCAAGAGAACTGACTATACTATAGTATAGTAAACAAGTTCAAGGCTAGCCTGGAATACATGAAACCCTGTCTCAAACCACACACACACACACACACACACACACACACACACACACACGAAAAAGGAGGGAAGGAAGGAAGGAAGGAAGGAAGGAAAGAAAGAAAGAAGGAAGGAAGGAAGATAGGAGAGGTTGGAAGGGAGATAATGGGAAGTTACCACAATCTACCTGTAGATCAAAATAGCAACTCATGGATATCTAAGAATATCTGGTCTCAGTTCCTCTGTGTAGGACATAGGAAGCAAGTTAGACCCTAATTATCACAAGGGCCTTTTGGAGAGCAAGTTGATCTTAAGTTCCCTTAAAAGTCAAGTCTACTAACAACTGACCTTAAGAGACCCCTAGCTGGTGATCCCAAATAGGGATTTTTAATTACAAATAATATAATATTGTTATTATTTTATTATTATCAAAACATTAACAAGAAACCTAATAATATCTTAGGAGGTATGAGAGTTACCCAAAGGAAAATCTTTGGGATAAGGCGAGATGCTTAGAAACGAGAAGGGCACCATTTCAAAGTCATGCAAGATAACATGTGGCCGAGGAGCCAGATGATATCATCAAAGCGAAAGCAGAAGGTGTCTTGGATAATGTCTACGGAGGAGGAAAAGGAATGGGGAGAGGTAGGGGAAAGGTTCTAGAATTACAGAACCAGCTCGGTCTAGAGAAGAAGTGAACAAGAGATGACACAAACACTAGATCTAAAAAAAGGACAAGGGTATTGTTGAAGTAGGGGGAGGTGACATCTGAAATTTTCATCGGAAATAAATGCATTTGATTTCAAACACTGAGATAATCCAACTTCAGTGTATACATATGTTAGTTGGGAACATAGTGGGGGCTTGATTGTCCTAAGTACTGGCTATTCCAGCTGTGGTCAAGGTCATGCATGGAAGCATAGACAGCTGTGAAGTCCCATGGAGCTGGAGTGACAGCTTCTCTTTCCTCCATTGGCTTTATGACCTTGAACATGTGACTCAGTTGTAGAAAACAGTGGGCTGTAACCACACCATTCCAGAGCTACAATGAAGACAGTAATCTGAGCCACAGCAAGCAGCCTGGCTGCATGTAACCTGCCACAGCAAGCACTCCGTATAAAGTGTTGACTGCATACGCCCTGAGCCTAGTGTGTGTTAGCCAAATGTTTTTAGCTCCAATGTCTAATTTGTACTAAGAAGAGAGTTCCTTTATATAAATGAAATATCAAAGGAAAATGAGTTTCAAGCATTTAAGTTCAAAAGGTGTACAATTTCATCTTCTGTCTCTCTCTATCTATCCACCTGCCAACCTCAGTCTCTCTTCCTTCTGTCCTTTCTTCATCTCTCTCACTATTTTTCTTCTTTCTTCATCCCTTTTTGCCTGCCTCATTTCCTTCTCCATATAACTCCAAATCAAATCTACATCTGTCTCCACATCTGTCCACAAACATTTTCTTTTACCTCTTTCCATTTTTTCTCTCAGTTTCTCTGTGTCCATATCCTAATAACTCTCTCTTCTTCCCTTTGTTTTCCACCTTCTGTCCACCTGCCCTTGATTCCTTTCCACTCCCTTTCCATTCCTAGGTTTGGATTTCTTGTGTGGGCTTTTCTCTTTTAAATCAGGTAGTCTTTTCCTGTGCAGCAGGAAAGATGGCCCCTGCCATCTTCAGACATAACTGGTCCATGATGTTGTAAAATCTCAAGGCTTTACTTTCATTGCAGCTAACAGTAGACTCTACTGAAAGAGTCAAATCATCCCAGAAGCACTTGGTGATAATAGACCATTTCCAGTTCAGCTTCCTCCTCTAGAGGCACCACTTTCAACCTCTTAAGGCTGATTATCTTTGTATTTATCTCTGAATACATAGTGTGGTTTGAATTTTCATTTTTCAACATTCTGTCTTGAGTTCCCTCTACAGAAATCAGGTGATCCACTTTACAAGGCACATGTTCAAGCAAGAAAAAACTTTCAGTGCAGTTAAGCTACTTTTGGGTTAGAAGACCCCTTGGTAATAACATCATTATAATTGTGCACATGTCTTCCTAGTTGAGTCAAGTAGTTAGCTGACTATTTTTCTTCCTCTGCGCCATCATTTTCCCCGGAGTGAATTTATCTCTTTTTCTTTTGCTTGGTTTTCTACGGACTCATCACTAATTCAATCTCCAATTCTCCAGTGGTCTAATTTTCCTTACAAGGCCTTTAGCCACTTTTTGTCTTGTATCCTCTTGCAGAAATCTCATTCAGAGCCCTTTATCCCACCCCAATATGACCGTGGTCCTCCAGGTCTGGTATACAGATAGAAGTGGGGACTGCTCCTGGCTGCCATCTGGGAATTTCTTTCATCTCCTGTGTTCACCTCGTGGCTGTGTCCCACATCTTCTTCATAGTTTTATGCACTTGGCGGGGGGGGGGGGGGGGAGGACATATCCTGAAGGAACTTTCTGAGAAAATGTTTATGGGAAGTATAATTTTAAAATCTTAAACAGACGGAAACATTTATCATAGCCTTACTGTTAATGAAGAGGAATAAATTCTGGTTATTTCTGAATTACTGGATTCCAATTCTAAATTGGAAAAAGTAGCTAAAAATTCCTCAGGAACTTAGAGAGCATTGTTTTGCTGTCTTCTTCATTCTCAGTGTTGTTTTTGAGATGTTCAAAAGTATTTGTGAATGGAGTTCTTGTAGATACTCTTGAAGCTAATTGTACCCAATTGTCTGAAATTTTAGGGTGGTGTGCTTTGAGACAGGCTGTTTTATTCATTCTGTAAGGCAAGGCTGGGTCTTTCCCTCCTGGAAAACTTTGGGAGAAATGATTTTTTTTTTTCCGAGACAGTGTTTCTCTGTAGCTTTGGAGCCTGTCCTGGAAACTAGCCCTTGTAGACCAGGCTGGCCTCGAACTCACAGAGATCTGCCTGCCTCTGCCTCCTGAGTGCTGGGATTAAAGGCATGGGCCACTACCACCAGCTGAGAAATGATATTTTATCCATGGTTCTCTGCTTTCTCAATCCTTCTGCTCTCTTTTCTAGCATTTCTATCATGTCTTTGTGGAATCACCCCGGTCTTACTCTTTTAACAACACAAACTTTCTCCTTTGTCTTTTTAATCTTATGTCTGGAAGATTTAGTTAACATTCTTTTTCAATACTTGTAAGTTTTCTTTTATTTATTTTCATTAGATAATTTGTCATCTGCAGTTTTTCTTTTATATAGCTTTTTCTTGTTTCATAAATATATTTTGTCTTCCTTCTGAAAATATCAAGTTGTTTTGTTTAAGTTTTTCTCCTTTATATTTTTCCTATTTCTTGTTTTTTTTATTCACAATTTTCCATGTTGCTGTTCTTTTTGCTGTGTTTTGGGGCACAACTCTGTAGGTGTTTTTATTTGTTGTACTTCTGTCTTAGTCAAGTGTAAATGTTTAAAATTGGGTACCAAAAACATTCCCAAAAGGATTTTGTGTTACCAGAGCTGACAACAGGGAAGGTTAGCATCCTGCAGTCAGCTGAGATGCTTCTGTTTAGCATCCCTGAAGTTCCTGCAGCTCTTTCCTTTTGTCTTGGGTAGATGCTTCACTGTCTGTTTTGATGATGAGGGACCTTCTGGAAGTGTGCTAGGAGCTGAGCTGCTTCAGAGACAGATCCGTGAGTTATGGCATTGAGCTGTGCCTTTGATTTTAGGACTCCACTGTATCTAATGTTCTCCATTAGGAGACCTCTCTTCAGCCCCTTCTTAGAAGAGATCTCTCGTCTCCTGCCAAGTCCAAGAAGGGGAATGATTTGGCATTTACAGGATCCTTAAACACTCTTCTACTGGCCCTCCCTCTGCTATGAACTTTACTCCCTGTAAACAGCCCTCAGTTCTAAGCATAGCTGAGTCTATTTAGAGACTGTCAGCAAACACTTCCCAGAACTAGCTAGTCTATTGCTCATCAGTCAACAAAATGTTGCTGCTGGATATAACCTCTTTCTTCTCTATTCTTTTTTGTTGTTGGTGGTGGTGATTTGTGGGTTTTATTGATATGTGTGTGTGTGTGTGTGTGTGTGTGTGTGTGTTAGTTGGTCTTAAGGAGCAACCAAAAGAGAAAATATATCCTCAACTCCTTAAGTCCCCTTTGTTTCCAATGTCTACATAACGTTCTCAAAAGAACTCTCCGCAAAAGTGTTTGGAATACTTGCTCCAGGCCTCCGGCTTGGCACTAGTGTTGTGATCTGAGTTTTCTCAGGAGCTGGGTCACCTCCCTGTTCTTGTGGTAGTCAGATTGGGACTGCCTAATTGACCGTTGCCTGAAAGTCACACAGAGGGACATTTCTCAAGAGAAAGGAGTGAAAGTAGCCATGACAGTCCAGACGCGTGTCCCAGACGCGGAGTACCTTTGCCCTCCAAAAGGCAAGGATCTTGAGGAGGAAAGGATTTTCTTCAGCTGCTTGGTGGTGGTGGTGGTGGTGGTGGTGTGTGTTGTGTATGTGGGTGCATGTGCACACTGATCCACTGTGTGTGTGTAAGTCTGAGGTTGATGTTACTCGGTGACTTTCCACCTTGTGTTTGAGGCAGGGTCTCTCACTGTTCAGAGACTCATTGCTAGCCTAGATTGACTGGACTGTGAGTACCAGAATTCTGCTTGTCTTCATTTCATGGGCGCTGGAATCACACGTGTGTGCCACTGTACCTGGTTTTTACATGGTTTCGAGGAGTCCAAACTCCAGTCCTTATGCTTGTGTGGCAAGCACTTAGGCCACTGAGCCAGCTCCCCTCTTTTGATTGCATTGAAAAACATTGGCATCGTTTCAGAAGCAAGAGCAGAAGCACCTCCCTTGGTGTTTTCTTCTATCGTGGCCCTCAGCAACATCTGTCCCTGCGTAATGCCCCTGAATCAAGTTCTTAACACCATCGCCCATTGCTGTGCATTGGCAGTAAGGCTCTTGGGCAGGCTCTGTTCCTGCAGAGGAAAGGAAGCGGTGGATATAGAGGCTCACAAAACAGAAAAGGACAGACACAGTGTCGTTCCTTGACTTGAGGACCAGCGACAACACATGTGCCATTTGTTTTGCTTTGACAGCTAAAGTCCTAAAGGAAGGAGATGGAGCATAGAGACCTGATCTGCCTGCACCATTTGTGTGGTCCCTCTTGAGTCCCTCAGTGATTTCAACTGTATTGGTCTCTGACATTCAAAGAAACACTGTCATCCTTTCTAAGTGTTTAAGTTTCTAGCTAAAAACAATACTTAAAGCATCTTTGGAGGCCCCTGGCCACCCTTGTCACAGGGAAGCTGTGCGAGAGGCTGAGTCTTCGAAGGTCATTCTTAATGGCAAGCTTTGAATGAAGTCAGCCCTGGTAACTCAGTGACAGCTTACACATTATTGTCCTTTTCTTTCTTAACAAGAACAAAAGGCCACAGTCAGGCCAGCCAGTCACACAGGATGAATCTCAGTGACATTTTTACTTCTGATATAAAAGAGTCACCCAAGGAATATCAGACAGCCAGCGTGAGGAACTTGGCAATAAAAACCCATTGGCGCAGATCTCAGAAAATCCAAAATGATTAGGTAAAGTACTGCCTATTTCTGTCTGCCTAGAGAAATCATGAATTTTTGTATGTTCTTCAAACTTGTGTTTGCTTCTGTATTTAACCAGAGGTTCTGTCTTTTCTACTCTGCAGCTCGTTGAAATTCAACCTCATCTTGGTTTTGTCGCTGTCCATGGCACAGGTGTTGTGGAGTTATCCTGTCCTCTCTTCCAAGGTAAGTGTTTTCCTGCTGGTTCTGATGGCCAGATCAGTGATTGGGGTGGTGAAGTACCCAAATTCAAAACAATCTCGAGAAATATGTGGCAAAAAATAATTTATTTCATTTTTAGACCTTTAGGGGAAAGCCCATGTAAACAGATTTGTGAGATTAGTCAAACAGAAATGTATATGTAACAGTAGGTAATTCTGGAATATACTAGTTTGTTATAAATTATTTGGGAATTATGTCTTGCATACAGAAATGGCCATTCCAATTTAAAATGTTCATATTTTGGCCCATGATAATTTATTTATTCTATATGCATTCACTCTTAATCACAATAAATGTTTTTGCATTGATATTGTACAAAAACAAACCAAAGCCCACAGTGGTCATTTTTTAGGAGCAGAAACTTTGTTAATTTTAGCAAAATGTGGGCTCTTTTTCTGGGTAAAGAATGTAGGAACCATGTTAGATTCCAATGAAATATTGCCTAAAATATTTACTTATGTATTTATTCAAGAGTGTCGGTGGAGGTCCTAACTGTATTTCCAAAGCTGCTCAAGCCATTCAGAAAAGCGATCGTCTTTCTTTGGGGTGTTTATGTCCCTTCCGTCTCATCTGTCCTTGTTTTGATATCATAATCTTTACAATATGAAAATATCTTTGGTTGCTGATGAGACTGTGAGCTTTAACCTTCCTTCACTAACATCTAACCTGTCACACTGAGCTCTCCATAATTCGAGGAACTGGTTTTAGGATGAAGGGAGGTCACAGACATTCCAAGCGACAGCTCCGAGCACTATGATCCAGTTATTTCTGTAATCGGTCCTCTCAGTGATCCTCACATCTGTCATTTTTCTACTTCCTGTTTACTTATTACAGCCTCTCTTCTGCCTTTCCCTCCTATGAGCATTCAACACTAATTTACTCATTGATCCTTTAAGACGTGGCATTGATCAAGCGGGTGACTCCCAATCCATAAATGGGTATATTTTCTCAAGTGTCCTCCTGATTGCTTCCTATTCTTGGTCCCTAAAGGTTTGCTCACGGCACTTTTGGACAAGAGCCACTTGTCTGTAGCTGTTTTTAAATTGAGAATTCTTCCATCTGAAGTGTGCGGAGACCTCCACGGCCATCAGGCAAGGTTTCTCCTCTCGCTGTATTGCCTGTGTTTCTAGCTGTGCTCACGAGGGATCTACTCTTACCACAGCCCCGTCAGACAGTAATGCCATAGATGATGCTCTTGGCAGCCTGACTGTGTGGGCTGAGTGACGATGCAGCCTAACCACATAGGTTGTCATCATCTGAACACAGAGCTTCGTGGAGCCCTTCAGCTACTGCACAGTGGGGTCCTGATGCTGGGTTGGCCCAGCTGCCTTCAGATCAGCCCAGTAGGCTGAGGTCTTTCTAGGGATGATGTAAGGGTCTCATAACCAGCAAGGGTGCTTTTCTTTTGTGGGTCAGAGGCAGCATCATGAGAATTTCTGCAAAGAGTCAGCTGCTTCCTTCCTGCAGTGACACATGGGTCCCTCCTGCTGGAGATTTGAAATAAGCAGCATTTATCTGTCATGCTAACATGGGGAAACAGAGCAGTGTCAAACTCAGAGTTTTTGATTGGCTTTTACAATGACCAATATTTATGAAACCATCTTTGACTATTCCCAGGTCAAACAGAAAACAACAGCAACAACAACAACAACAACAGAGAGAGAGAGAGAGAGAGAGAGAGAGAGAGAGAGAGAACGAGCATCTTCTTTTCCCCAGGGCCATTGGGAAGGTTTACTTGAGAGCTCTGAGTCCTGGAGACCAGTCATTCACCCAGCCAGGGCAAAGAGTTCCAGGGCATTTGCTGCATTGCAAGCTTCATCCCAACAGCCCAACAGTTACTCAAGGCAAACTTGTCTCCTACACCAAACAGCAAAAGGTGTAAGCCTCTGTAAGCTTGGCTTCGTGCTGTGTCTCTTCATTTCTAGTAAAATGCTTTGGCTTTCCTTCTGCTGGAGCTGAGAAACCGGGGCTTGAGTCGGCCGCTGGTGAACAGCGTCATCTGCAAGCGTGTGATGGCCTCACCTAGAGCCCAGGAGCCGGTGGTACTGGCTTCACACAGCTCTCTTTTTTTTTGTAGGGCAAAATAAGAGGAGGTGCAGAAAGCTTGCCACTCAGAGATGGCTTTACCAAGGTAATTGCGTTATCAAGGACAGAATTTGGTTAGCACCTTGCCAGTTATTAAATTTCTTTTGAAACCACAAAAGGGAGAGACCTGGCAAGTGTCAGCAGCTCCCACCAGAGCCCTAGATCAGTGCTCCCTCTAGGACTTAGCAGCTGTGACCAGAGAGTGACCTTAGCGCTGACCCTTGGCTTCCTCATCCATGATGTGGGACTAGACTGCAGCTTCCCTGGGCCCAGTTTGAACTCCAAGGTTCTGGATCTGTTTCTTCCACCGCTCAGCACTCCAGCACGATGATGTGCTATCCAGGCCTTGAGCCTTGATGACCGGAACCACGGCTGAAGGTGAAAGTGTCAGGGCCTCTCAATGGCACCACTTTCTGTGTAGCCACAGACAGTCCAGAAGGAAGTCCAGTGCTGTGACAAACCTAGAGTTGGATCACATTGGGTGTGTTTTGCCTGGAGGAATTTCTTTCAGTTAATTTAACTTTAGAACTAGCTTACAAGACAGCAGGTTTCCTTACGGCATCTCCATACATACCTAGGGCAATAGAAACTTTTGAGACAGGGCGTCATGCAGCCCAGGCTGGCCCAAAACTCACAACATTTTAGGGAGGTTTTTTTTTTTTTGAGTTTTAAGTTGCCAAAAATGACCTAAAACTTCTTTTTGTATGTTTTAATGATTTTTTTTTTAAAAAAAATATCTAAGTGAGAGTATCTGATACCCTGGAGTCACAGACAGTGGTGAGCTGCCATGTGGGTGCTGAGCATTGAACCCAAGTTCTCTGGGAGAGCAATCAGTGTTCTTAACCACTGAGCCATCTCTCCAGCCCTGTCCTTAAACTTCTTATCGCCCCGCCGCCACCTTCCAAGCGCTGAGATTTCAAGTGTGTGTGACCATACCCAGTTTATGCAGGGCCGGTTGTTAAACCAATGGCTTTGGGTGTGCTAGCCAGTGCCCTGCCAACTGAGCCCCATTCCTAGCCCCTGAGTGAGTTTTCAGTAGTATTCCCAGGACTACCCAGAGCCTTCTAATATCCCTTATAAAATAATGGCGTCATGACCATTATATGGAATATACAATGTAAACAATGAAATCAGAATAAAAAGTAGACAAGCCCATTGTAAGCCAGATGCTATCTACGCTGAGTGTTGGGGTTCAGCGCTGTGTCTCGCCATTAAGGTGAGACAAAGTGACTTCATAACCGTAAATCCTTGCTGTTGAAATAAAACTTTTAACTCAGAAACTGTCTCCTCTCCTTCCTCCCCCACCTAAATCACCAGGTGCCTGCGAAACCTGATTACTTTCTCATCCTACTGAGCAGCTGCCCAACCAGGATGGAGGAGAGCGACGGGCTAGCTTTCCTAAAGTCAATTTTGGAGAAGACATCGATGAAAAGGTCCTTTCGCAACGGAGTCGGCTCGGGGGTGAAAAAAACTTCATTTCAAAGAGCAAAGCAATGAATAAGTGCGCAAAGGACTCTGGGAATGAATCTCCGGCTATGTAGAGTGTGACTGATGCATCCTACCATGCGATGTTGCTCCCCTCCCCATCCTCAGATGATGCCCTCTTTCCTAACAGCTCAGAGGAAATTAAGTTTTTTGGGGGGAAATACAAACCTTCTCGAACTTCCATCTGTGAGTGAAAAAGAAAAAAAAAAAAAACGATTTCTGGGCTTAGCCAGACACTTCCCTGACTGCAGAGGGACACGCTGGCTTTGATCTTGAATTGGCCACAATGCATGGGCGTTTTTCCTGCCCTATTAGTGTGATTCTTCTCCAGCTCTCTTGCTGTGCTGTAGCACCAAGTGCAGTGGTAGGGATATGCTATTTCTCCTTTAAAATACGATTGGGTTTCTCAGATGGCTCAGCGGAACCGAGTGTGCTGCTTCTGTCTGTAAGAGTCCCGTGAAAGTCCAGTGTGAGGCTGAGTGGTGCAGCTGGTCTATCAGTCAGCTAATTGGTACCTGTAGCAAGTAATCCCAGAAGAAACCCCCTGGGTCTGTTCCCCCAACCTCCTTTTTCCGATTCCAAATATACATAAAGATGGCGACTTGTTTGGTCTTGGGAAATTTATTTTGTCTCGACTTTTAAAGTCTTAACAACATGAACCACTGCCAGCCATAATGGTGATCCCTGAGAGCTGGCTGGTGCTTGTGTGGTAGGGGGTACACTCCAGAAAACCTTGCTGTTGGGTGATCCCCACTCCATCCTTGCCAGACCAGGTCAAGTGCTATATCTTGGAGACTCTTGACATTGATTTTTTTTTTAAAGGGCAATGCAGGGCTGGGTTGGTGATGATGGCTCAGCGGGAAAATGCTGATGATGTAAGCATGGGCCCCTGTATTTGGATCCCTGGAACCTATATAAGGAGCCAGAGGTGCTAATTGCTTACAACCTCAGTGCTGAGGAAGAAGAGGGAGGATAACTGGGGCTTAATAGCCAGAGAGTCTAGCCAGATACCCAAGCTCCATGTTCAGCTAGAGACGCTGCCTCAACAAATAAGGAGGAGGGTAAAAGAGGAAGAAGTTCAGTGTTGACTTCCTATCTCTATAAGGGCATGCACATACAACACACATGTGTATACACATACGTGCACACACACACACACACACATACACGTTCACAGAGAGGCAGGGCAGGCAGGCATTGGTTCAGGATGAGGAGTTGCTTCCAAAGTGTAAAGATAGTGAACTTGTTCATACTTGTTGGACTCTGGAACATGTTTCAGGTGTTCTCTGAGTGCCTCACACAGGTTTGAAAGTCAAAGACGAACTCCGTCCTTGGTCACCAGCTTCAGAAAGTAAACAGTCTTCAGGAACTGGAACTCATAGTGAGCAGGTCCCAGGGTGGCCAGGCGGGTCTGCTCAGCCAGCTGTCCATGAGTGCACAGCCTCCAGATGTGTCAGATTAGAGAAGGTTCTAACAATTGGACTGAAAAACGGCAGGCTTTACATATAAAGGGCCTTCTGGTGTTTGTCCTTGCCTGTTGTAAAAAGCAAGCTGCTTCCTGGTTCGTGTGTGTGTTCCCTTTACTCTTGGTGTCCAGAGACAGGCGGTAATTCAGATTGGAGTAACGTAACAATGTGTGCGCCTGCTAATGGGACTTTTAGGGTTCAAGGCACCTCAAGGAGACACTTTGGGAAGCACAGAAGAAACATCCAAGAATGGAAGGTCTCCTGTGTAGAGCCACCTAAGGCCAATTGTCCCTTGTTTCCTCTTGGCAACTGTGTCCTTCTTGTAGACCCAATGGTTTGAAGACTGCTCTTCTCCCGTGATGTCTATCTGCCCAAGCTTTGTGCCACTCAGCAGCTTTCCCACTCCAGTGCCTGATATCTGGCCCTTCTTCTTTGTGTTCCTTTTGGATCTTCCATACAGCCAGCTCTGCAGTGTTCCCTGTCTAAGGCTAAAATACACATAGACAAACTTATATACCACATACCTATACAAACACCACATGCATGTGCACATAGCCCATATATGTAAACACACTACACACATCACAGCATATCACACACACCTTGACACACACACACCCCCACACGCATACACATACAACACATGTACACATAGGCAGTTGACGGGCTAGCCTATTGTCAAAAGCACAGCTTTGGGTCTTGCTATGAACATGACCTGTGATCATCCCCAGGACAAGGAAGAGCACTGCAGAGAGTGACGGTGACACGCAGAGATGACAGGCACAAGATTGGTTGCCTAGTTGCCCCCTCATCTGTCCATGAGTCTGGAGCTCACTTAGTCAACAACCACAATGGTGTTCACAGTTTCCCTGGGGCGTTCCTCCAGCCAGCAGCTGTATGAAGGTGGCACCGGCCCATGGTGCCCTTCAATCACCATTTCTGCTCTCAGGATACCTGAGATGGAAGGCGGAAGCTTTCCTGAAAATGTTGAAAGGAGACATTAGCCTGAGTCATGGAAGGAACTGGTATATACCCGTGGTACCATCTTCTCTATTCACCATTTGTACTGCGTTCCCTTCCCTCTAAGGGCCCTAGCATGGACTGAAACCAAAACTTTCAAAGTGGATACAGTTCTTTTAAAAGAGAGAAAATCACTGTTCCCTAGTTGACTGTCAGTGGGTACAGACAGAAAGATGAAATCCCCGTGTGGCCAGGACTGATCACCCTTGGCCCTTTCTTTTCTGTCACTGAGTCTGAGGCAGAGGCTTTAGACAGTGACACCTCTACTCTCAGAACATCTACATGGCCAGAGAATCTGCCTTCTGTGATGGTCATAGGCCCTGTTGCACCCGAGTCCTGACGGTCACCACAATAGGAGCTTCCAGTAAAATGTAGGAAGCCTGGCTGGAATGTGTCAGGGGGCTGTGTGCTTCGTATCTTCCCAGAATTATTGACGGAGAAGCTAATGAGATGACCTCATGGCTGATACTTCCAGCGTTGTGGAAGGAAGCAATTGCTGCGTGGATTGTGGCAAGAATTAGGCTCCCTTTATGTGAGAAACGAGACCGCTCCAGGAAAGAGTCCTCCTAATTTTCTACTGTTTGCATTGATATGGGATGGTTGGAATAATAAAACTCCAAAAAAGTAATTGACAAATTTCCCTTCCCACTTCTGAATGGAAACTATTGACTCCTTGGTGGAGGGGGAATCTGTGAAAAGCCTCTGCTATCAAAGGGTCAGAGGAGATTGCACTCGGCCAGACGGGGAAGTTCTCTTTGGGAAGGAAAGCTAAATACTTCTTTCCCATATTCCTGGGATGAAGTGTTTTTGACAAAACAGTATTTTGAGTTACCAAAGATGTGGCTGAGGAAAGTCACTTAAAGCTTTGGGGATTGTGAGCCTGATACCGTTTTGGTCACTGTTGCAAGCTAGGTTACTGCTCTAGAAGGTGAGATGGGGTGGAGATGCGAAGGAACCCATGACCCTTCACCTCCTCATCACCAAGGGTGTTGGTGGAGGCCAGCATTTTACTTGCCTAGCTGGAGGCTCTGGAAGCCCTTAGAACACAAACATTCCACAAGATGAATTGTTACTTATTTCCCTCTGACTTACCTGAATAGGACCCAGTTTCATGTCTGCTGGAAAATTCTAGTGGGTCAAAAGAACAAGAGCCAGCGGGAGCCATGGGTATCTGACAAGAGGGGATGATAGTGTGGAAGAGTTAAACACAAAGCCGACAAGGGAGGCAGGAGAGCCAAGAACCCCCGACCTCAGGCTGCCCCCAAAGCACACAGCCACACTATCATCCAAACTTCTAGAAATCGTCTAACTCCGAGCTTTCCCAGCGCGAGTCAGAGCTGGCATTACGTATCTTACCAGCTTGTTTTACATTTACTGGTAATTCATTTGCTCAGAAATATTTGCTGAGCTTGTTCTGTACCCAGACAGTGTTCCAGACACTGGGCGTGCAGAGGTGAAGAAGATAAAACTCTTGGATAAAGTGGAGATGTAAATACCATACATGTCAAATAGTGAGGAAGGTACTCCCTGTAAAATGGACAAATTGGCAGAAATCAGACAGGGAAGTTAATATTTCTTATGTATTTAGCACTATTGGTAGGGAAGCTAATTTAATAGGTAAGTAGGTATTATTTAACATGCACATATATGTAGATTATATTCTATGCATTCGTGAAATAGTACATATATTCAGATATAGTGTGCATGTATATATATTTATATATGATTATTATCAATTATGCAGATGGAGGTAGTATCTTAGGTGACAGAGCAGTGGGGCTGACAGAGGAACGATTGTGGGGTAGGAGTAGGAGGGAGACTTCAGGTACAGTTGTTAGGGAAGGTGCCTCCAGGGGAGATTAGATCACACAAAGTACAGAGACCAGAAAAGTAAGAGGGTCTCTGAAGGGTATTGTAGGACTCATGCACTTCCTATGAGGGACACAAGGAAGCCCTGGAAGTTTCCAGAAGACCCGTGCCTTCTGGCCTTGCTGACTTTATACGAGTGAGACATGAAATAGTCCTCCGGTCAGTTTGAACAGTGGTAGCGATTAATCACTACAGGCAGGACACCCAGTGACACAGCCTGTCTTCCCTCGAGCCTGCTCCCATTATGTCTGCAGAATAGCCAAACTGGTGGGAGGCTTCACTTCTTTGTTTTTAGACAGGCTCTCTCTGTATAGCCCTGATTGGCTAGCTGGCTGGCTTGGAACTTGCTTTGTAGACCAAGCTGGTCTTGAACTCACAGAGATTTGATGGCCTCCAGTTTCTGGGTGGAGGCATATGTCACCATAGCTGGCAGAAACAGCCCAGCTGTGAAATGACTTATCAGATCCTGAGCAGGGATACTGGGCAATATCCAAGATGCTAAGGGCACTTGGAGTGACAGAGGAATTACCGATCTCTCCCTTCAGCTACCCTCTTTCTTCTGATCCCTCACTCCCCTGCTCTTCCTCTGACTCTCTGAGACTCTGGGAAGACAGCAGGATTTTGTGAGAAAAAGTTGTCTTCAGGTAGGGGCCAGTCGAGACAGAGTGATTATAAAGAGCAGAAAAGACAGGAGGAAGGGCACAGTAGGAGATGCAGACATACTGGAAGGTCCAGGAAGCATTAGCCAGGATGCAATGTTTCCCCTGAGGAGGGACCACAGGAGCAAGTAG